ATGGTCAGTTGGAATTGTTGCGGGTGTCATAGTGGTTGAATCCAAATTTAGTCCATCCAACATTTTCATGATCGGAACGAGCTTTGTTTTGATGTCAACAAGTTGTTTTTTTAGTTCAATGCAATTTGCACAAGTCATGATGATAGGTTATGTCAGCTACATACAACGAGATAAAATTTGGTAAAGACAAAATCAGCAAAATAAACTGATTTGAACAAAAAAGTCGATATACTATTGGTAAAACAGTTCTTAACGAACAAAATAATATAAAACTCAATAATTTTGGACGATCAAATATAGTTGAAAATTAAATAAAACTATGATATTTTAGAGCAGAGAGAGCAAATGTACGTCTTTTGACACTCTCGAAAATCTCGAACTTTGTCTCGACATGCCAAAACTTTTAGCATTTACAGATCTCAATTACCTTGTAAACTTTTTGAGATAATCAGCGAACAAAAAACGCGAACGCGAACGCGAACGCGGCGAACGCCATACGAACATCACTATTTCACACAATTTTTCATAGTAAACAATATGTTTTTGGAGGCAGATAGGTCTTGATCGATAGGATTTGTTCCCATCTACATTGCCTAGTGTACAGATATGTGCTTTTTGAAGTTTGGCGTGACGTTATAGTGGTCCGAAAGAGGAGATGTCATGAAATTTCGACTAGTAAAACCAATACTTTTCCATACAAACAAAGTTTGCCAAAAAGTAAAAAACTTCTTTCGATGATTTTTCACTGATTTCGAATACGTTTAGTTCTATATCTCGGGAACCACCCAACCGATTTTGATGAATGGGGTACCAAAATTTATGGAAAAGTCTCGCCTTTCTGAAAATGCATATATCAATATAAATTTCTAACAAAATCTAATGTTTCAGACCTATTTTATTCAAAGGCTTACTCAAAATTCGCCAAATACAATAACTTTCTTATTAATACGTCTCCCTGACAAACTAATGATGCAGAAGTGTTTGTTTTGAGGTCCTCTACCATCGTGCATTCAAACCCCCAATGTGTGCAAACATCACCAAAAAATTGTTGTACTGTGTTATGAAAGAAAGTGAAGTTAATTGGATTAAAGTTAACTGAGATGTAATTAATAGGTCATACTTGAAGAGTATGTTCCTATGTTTACTCGCGCGCGTTGGAAAGATAGCAACATAAGCTAGATAATGCAATATAAGCGGATCGATTTCTTGAGTATTCCACAAAGTGTAGTTGTTCCATGGTTTGAGGTTGAAAGGGTGTTTCTGTCCTGTTTTTCCCAAAATTCTGTTTTTTTTATTTTTAGATTTTGGGAGCCTCTTGTCCCTTCAAAAGGGAGGGCAGTCACAACAATTGATATTTTCTGATTCTTCGGAGTCTAGTGAGTATTTTATTAGAACTCATCACCGTCGTCAGATTTTGAAAAAAAATTATATAGTCGAAAAACTCAAAGTAGTAGAAAAGACAAAGTAGTAGAGTAATAAATAAAACAAGTAGATGTTTGTATGACTGTATTTGGTGAACTAACTTTATTCCATCCTATTCCTATTAGGTGTGCAAATAGGTTTTTTCGGCTTATGAGGCATGGGCTTTCTAGCTATATTTAATTTGTAGTACCCACGAATAATTGAATAAACACGAAAAAGTCAGGTTTTCTATATGAATCTTAGTGACATTTTCATGCGAAGTCAAAATATTCAGCCAATACTTGGCGGTGAAATAAATATACTATAATGGTCTCACCAAAGCAATGGAGTTACCGCGAACAACCAGTCCAAAACAGTCAGCAATAGGGGAACCTATATTGTGTAAAAACGAACTGTAATTATGTTCATACATATTTCTATGGGGAATATCAAGAGTAAAGCTATCTACGGACACGAACAAAGAAGTGAAAAAGTCGTTAAAAAAATGCAACATGTTCAGAGTAAAAATAAAGACGTTTTGCCTTCTTTTGACAGTTCCGTCATGGTCAGGGCTACCCAATTGGCGCAACACTGTTCATTTTATTTATTATTGACTTGCCACATCACACACTCGAATCAATATTACAGTCGTTTGCCGATGACACTAGACTATGGAAACACATTGAAAATTTTGAAGACTGCCAAGAACTGCAAAACGATCTCAACAAAATTGTAAAATATTTCCGGGACAATCGACTAAAATTGAACATCAAGAAATCAAATTGCATATCA